ACTGAGTTAAGATTTATTTTCAACACGAAATCGATTAGTTATAATTCTAAAATTGAATGATAAATTTTAACTAAGTTTTCAAAATTTATCAGAAAAGTTTCCCTTTCTGATTATTTTTGCTTTTCTGTTACTCGGTATCGAAAAAAGATTTCACATGCAACAAAGTGTTTAGAGAAAGCATTGCAATCATGTTTCACATTCACGAGTGAAAATACTTTTAAGGCATACAGAAATTATGTTTTTTAAAAATAAATTTTTTTTTCTAGCACAAATGAGATTTTTTGGATCTTTTGGGCTGTGTAGAAATAGTCATTTTGCATAATTTATTAATTAAATTAAAACTTAAATGAACATTTTCGAAGTTAATAACTTTTTTTAATAATTACTGCATAGAAACCTCTTAATAAAATTGTTTACCTTATGCCTTTTTGGAAATAAAAATTACATTTAATTGCATCTTCTCATAAGAATAATAACAGGGTAATCTTATTTTTTTCTAAATTTTGACTTTGAGAAATGCTTAAGAAATAAATAAGTGAAAATAAAGTAAATTATTTATAACCTTAATTCCAAATATTCATAAAGAAATTTTTTAAGAGAGAGTATGTTAGAGAAATTGGGTCATTTCAAATTAAAGGGACCATCCCATTTATTAAGCTATTTATTTATTTTTATCTAGTCATACTTTAAGATTAAACAGCTAGGACGTCGAAAAAGCTAACTTAAGTCGCAGATGGCAGCTAATTTAAAATAAAATAATACATCCATATATGAAAAAAATACATTAAACGTAAAACATTCTCTAAAATACTCCGGTTAGTAATCAACTACATACGCTCTCAAAAATAAAATCCTCAATTTTAATGATTCATCAATCCTTGAACTATATTTCGTTAATTTTGAGAATCTTTTTGTCACGAAATAACTTGATTTGTGGAGAAGAGCGAATTCTCAAATATATGACGAAAATGTATCTTTAATTCGAAACCTTATCGTGGTGCATTGTGGGAGAACTAGAGTGACGAAATTAGAATAAGGAATAAATGATCGAAAATAAAGTGACGGAACAGGCCGATCGGTTTGTATGGTGGCCAAGGAGTTGAACTCGAACCAGGAAGATTACGGATTGGAATCGGGCTTGGGTGTAATTTATCACCCTGTTCTATCTGTCTTTCTTAAGTTGTTTAGGCGACATTAATTACCTTTATGGTGCCCACGATAAATTGGTTATTAGACGCAACGAGTTCTTTTTATTCATTTATTTGAAAAAAAATGGTATGACAAAATAATTCTTTAATTTTGACGAAATTTATTTCCTCGAAGAAGTGACGACAGTTATTTCGTAACTTAGAAGAAATATTTGCTCGAAGCATATAGCAGGAAACAGTTTCGTCAAAAATGAAGAAAGTTTCGTGAAATTTAAGTATCCATTTTTTACAAAGTGAAGAAAATGTTTGATAAAAGTACCTAGTGAGAAGTTTGTTCATACGAAAAAAGAGTGAATGATACTTCACATTGTCAAATAACCTATCCTAATAAGAAACCATACCCAACTAAAAATAATCGATCGGAATTTTTATTCTCATTTGAATATTTACTGAGTAATATTAAAGCAGATAAATTTTTTTTGTACCTTTACTTTTATTCTAAGCTGGCTTACTTGGAAAGAGACAAGAACATTCTTTTAACTTCTTATTAGTGTTTTTTAATTTTAGACATACACTGTAAAAATTCCAGATCAAATTATGGAATGAAGTACCAGCACTTTGGGTGCATCATCCGTAAAATCCCTTTTACTTTAAAATCCACTTTTAAAATAAGATATTATACCGTAATTTTTACAGCAATATTTATTTAATTAAAGTGATTCAGTGCTTTTATGGTAATTATAACTGTAAAAATTACGATATATCAGATTTTTTGTTCCGTAACGTGTACCGGTAAAAATGGAGTTTTTGTAATTTGATCCAAAATTTTTAACAGCGTATTTCTAACAACAACAAAAAAAAATAGATTTTAAATTTTTATTTTGGCAGTAAATGTTTTTTTTACAGATAACTGAATGTTATTTTTTTAACTTTAATGTGACATTTCACATAAATTTAATATATCTATTTCACTCCGAATTCGTTTCTGTAATTAGAATTAAGTTTTGAAACGCTTTGAAGGTTGAATCAAGAGTTTCAATTTATAATGAGCTGCAAAAGTTTAAATCGAATTTTATGTCTCTTAAGGGATAGTTAGGTTTCATTTTGAGAGGCGTCTTGAGGGGATACATTGAAAACCTCTTAAGTTGAGGTTCCGATCAAGAGTAATCAAACGATAATGTAAATGAATGCACAAGAAAGAGATTGTTTCTGGCTGTACATTCAAGCAAAAGTCTTCAAAGAGAATGATTGTAAAGAACTTTCTCTATATACACTGAAATATATACAAACATATTAGTGTACATGAAATATATATTGAAAGGCCACGATGAAACAACGCACACTACAGTACGCACATGACAAGCGCATTTCGATTACACAGCAGTTGTGAACACATTGTTAAGGTATTTAACTATTTTTAAGGAACAGTGTTCAACCAAATAATTGTAAAATGAACTAGAAAATAGTAACAATAATTAAAATAATTAAGTAGGTAATTACCAATTACTGATCACAATTGTAACAAATGATTAATGAATAAAACATTTGTCACAATACATAATTACAATAAATTAAAGATCACATTTGTTATAACAATCAAATAAATTATAATAATTTGAAAATCTGATCAAATAATTGCAAATTAAATATAAATATAGTAATTCAGTATAATAACTCAAGTAGTACAATTGAATTAGTAAATTGCATAGTGACGCATTTGATTGTTTTCACAAATTACATTATAAGTAAAATTCATACAATTAACAATCATATATTTCAAATCATAAACAACCTTTTAAAACAAGTCCTTTTAAAACGAAAAGTGCAGCTAGATGAAATTTGCAGATGATGAATTTCACTTTAAGTTAAAAGTTCTGAAGGAGTGTATAATACATAATTATATGTCAGGAAGAAACTTCAGTGGGAAGGAGCTAAAACTTCAGCTTCTGGTTTTAAAGAAGCTCAAGTTTTAAGCTTTTTTGACTTTTGAGCCATTGGTTGGTATTTGAACAATGGAACGATTCATTCTTGATAGAAAATACAAATCATTCCTGATGACAATTCATTTTTGAGGAACAATACAATTCATTCTTGAGGAACAATACAAATACAATTAAATAACTTGTACATAACAATCACTCCTACTTAACTCGTAAAACACTCATATCTCGTAAAGCACCCGCAAACAACTCATTCAGATTTTTGTTGTGTAAGGTAACTTTACCAATAAAGAAAAATTTTACTACCAATTGAAACACTTTGTAAATAAAAGAATTTGCTGTTGCATAATAAATGCTACAATTTTTTAAAGTATTGAAGTAAAATAGTCAAAATTTCAATTCAATTATATCCACTAAAAATATCTGGGTAGCTTTTCAGAAATCGAACTTCGAAATTCTGAATTTTAGGATTTAAAAATTTTAAACACGCATGTTTACGGAATGGGTTGGTAAAATAAGTCAGCTTTTAAAATTCTATGAAGTTATAGAATAATATATTAAATTTTCCCTTTAACTGCTTTTTTAAATTAAATAGATCTTTTAAATTTATAATCTACTTGCAACTAAATTTAAAATGTTTAACAGTTTATCTTATTGCCTATACACCTTAAGTGTTCACATCAAGAAACTTGCAAGTTTGTTTCAAATTCAGATGACAAGAGCACTTCTGAATCCAGTAAAGGGACACATTGATGTTTTCGATATGATAACATTTTTGAGAGAAAGCAGTGTCAGCAACGTATGTGAAACCACTAGCAACCCTCATTTGTAATTCGACGTTTATAAGATCCAGGATCCGTCTGCCACAGAAAATATGATTGAGATTTAATATAGAACAAACCCCTCAACAAAATCTTATGTTTATTTTAAAGCTAAGTCGAAAATTGTTCAGTAGATATGTGAAAGAGGATAACGAATTTATATTTCTACCAAGTGAATTCTCGATTTGCTTTGAAACGTGTGTTATCCATAAGAAAAATGAGTATTATTTGTATAAAAAAGTTTTTAAATGTTGCATTAAACGCAGTTAAAATTATTAAAGAAAGTTAAATGAAGGTGCCTTTTATATAAATTTCTTTTCTCTTACTAGAAAATGGTTTGACTTATTGTAAATTTTCTAATAAATATGTTATTTGAATGGTAATTTAAAATTACAGTATTTTCGTTTCACTGAATGATTAAGAACAGTTGCAGAAAGGCAATAATAATGTACTAGTTAGGATATACTCATTTTTCATGAAAATAGTTCGAATAAGTGAAATTGTTAGGATTATTTAGGAAAGAAAACTAATATTTAACCGTTACTTTAGAGATCATTTGTAGAAATTTCAACAGTTTGCATGAAATAATGAAACTAAAAAGAAATTATATTGATTTCTCTATGAAGTTTAAATCTATTAAGGAAAACAACAATTTCTAATAAAAAAAAAGGGAGTACATTAAAAATATTTTTTTATTTTTTTTAAACAGATATATTTCTTGTAAATTTCTTAAAATGATCATAACAAATATATACTTTCAAAAAGAAGGTATATAAATGTAATACTGTGGCAATCATTTAAATTAAAATGTGTCTGATCAGTCTTTTCATAGTAATTTTTTCTTTCAGAGTGTTATTCGTTATATTCTGGGTGTTAAACACATTCTGGGTGTTAAACGTTAGTGAAAATAAGTAAACAATTTTACTCAAAAAGTAATAATATTACATTAAATTTTAAATTTATCATCGAAAAGCTTTTTTTAAAAACCAATAAGACTAAAAATAAAATTTATAAAAATTTTTTACTAATTGAATGTAAAAAAAAAGTATACTATTACTCTTGATCAAAAAAGAACAAAAGTTTCTTTTTATAACATAATAATGCATTTCATTAATTATTTGTTTTTAAAACTTACCATAAACAAATGATTAAATAACGCTTTGTACATTTTCAATCAATCCCGAAAACCAGCAAATTTGTTTTAGATTTTATTGTTTGTTTGAAAACGATTCATGTTTTCAAGCTTGCAATTTCATTTACCACTTATTTAAATATTGTTTAAGAAATACTAAGAATGTTCAAGTTGCCTATTGAGTTCTTATTTTTCTAGTCTAATGAAAAAATATTTAATTATATACATAATGATCTAAACTTATCTATATATATATTGAGAGGGAATATCTAAAGAAACATATTCAAAATGTTTTCTTCTTTGGTAAAATGATACAATGCGTAATATTTTAAGCCATGTTAAAAATAGTAAATCAGTTTCAATATATTGCATTAATGACACTTATCAAATTATATATGAATCTACATTATTATAAAGTACTTGTTAGAGAATCCTAATTCATTAACAAAAATATTTCTGTACACACTAATTTAAATTTAATTATGATACATATTTTTCATAACTTTTAATATAAAGAAAAGTAATATTTCAAGTACTTTAGTGAGTTTAAAATAATACAAAATGTTTATCAAAAGTATTCCAGTATGTTTTGCATAGATATGTTTTGAAGCAAGATATTTAATATTTTCAGCCCTAAACCATGAAAAAGTTATCCTACTGCATTGATATTATTAATTTAAAGAGCATCATTACGATATCCAAAATTTCGTCTACTTAAATCGCAATTAGTAATATTACGTACAAAATTTTAAAAGCCAGTAGACTTACATTTATATTTGCTAAGAACTATTCTAAAACAACTGATATATTTCATTTTTGGAGTTACTAATAAAAAAAGGTTTATCAGTAATTTAAATAATAAATGAAAAAACATTTTATATTTTGAATAATAAATGAACAGTCAATTATAGTTGTATCAGCAGCTAAGGATTGTTTTTTGTTTGTATTCTTACTGTGTTAACTTTTTCCAATTTGAGCCGGGATGAATTTCAATTTAAGTCATAAAAACACAATATTCAACACACGGTTAACAAAATTATTCAGCTTCATAATGATTAATATATTATGTTTAATCATTTTCAAATAATGATACTTTTGCAAATGTTTAAAAATTTAATTAATTAATCCAACTTCACAGTTTAGTATATAGATATTGCGCAATAAGAAAATGAGATAGTTTCTAGGAAATAATTTGTCAAGGTACAGCCTTAATTTGATAAATATATGTATATATTTTCTTTCTGGTGGCTGGTCAAATTGGCAAAGTTTCCTCAAGAGGACTTAGAAACAAATATTTCATAGAAATTTTGGTGATTCGATTGCAATTGGAATTCTTTATAGATAAATAAAATAATTAGTTTACTGCCAAATTCGTTTTTATCAAATGACAAAACATTAAATTTACTAAAATCAATGGATGACAACAATTGAAAAAAACAATATCTGACAGCAGATATACCGATCAGAGAAAAATATTCAAATAATAGACACTCTTAGTAAGTGATACATACATATTTCTTGAAAAACATTTAATATTTAATACGAGGGTAGAAATTGTTCTTGATAAGAGTTCTAAAAACAAAAATTGATATCATAAACAAAATTTTATATTCTACTTATTTCTTAAATTTTGATAGTTAAACGGAACAAGTAATAAAACTTTCACAGTAACAATTGGACAAAAAATACTGAAATAATTTATAAGACACAGATTGATTGTATGATAACAATAACGTAGCTTATTCTGATTCTTTTCGCATTACAAGAGCTATCAGTATCGTTCCTCGAATATTACTTAAAATCATTTATCTTCAAACCAATCACGGTTGCAAGTTAAGAAGACACAATTACGTCAACTATAAATTAAATTACCATTTTATGAGACATAACATTGGGTGAATCAGACTGTACAAACAAACAGAATTTTTAAGTTTTTTGTTAAGGTATACTTGGAAGTTATATGACTTATAAATCAGTTTAACGGAATTCTATAATTTCAATTGGAAGAGATTTATTATCTGCTTGAGAATTTCTGTCAGAAGTTGTTACTGTCAACAATAATTCAATTATCAATTTCGATAAAGTCACATTGTGTGAATTAGACAATACAGACATACATAATTTTAAAATTTTTGTAAGATATACTTGGAAGTCATTTGACTTTTAAATTAGTTTAACGGAATTCCATTGTCTGAGTTGGATGAGATTTATTATCTACCAGGAAAATTTCTTTTAGAAGCTGTTACTGTTGACAATAATTCAATTACCATTTAAGATGAAGTCACAATGGGTGAATTAGACAGTATAAGCATACGTAATTAAATTGTGTTAAGATATACTTGGAAGTTATATGACTTTTAAATCAATTTAACTGATTTTTATTATTAAATTGGAAGAGATTTATTATCTGCATGAGAATTTCCTTTGGAAGTTGTTATTGTTAACAATAAATATCACCAACAATCTTGGAAGATTAACACATTCTTAGGTACTTACTATCAAAATAATAACAATGGAAGGTAACAATATTGAGCAAATTAATGAGCACAATATAAATCAGCAATTCTTAAATATAGGATAACTTCTCCACCAAACAGATCCTGATAGCATCTGATCTATAGATTTAATTTATACTTTACAGATATGATTTGTAGAAATATATTTTATGTACAATATTTAACTATACACCACCCCAAGGATTAAAATATTGACATAATAAGGAAAAGACTCAAATATAACATTGATGTGATAAGTGACATAGCACCGAAAATTGGAAATTGTGATTTTCTTTATCTAGCTGCTGTCATGCGTTATAAATTGAAAGATATAACAAATGAATAAAATTTTGTCATGGGATAATATTTTGTCCGTCTGAGCAAGACAGCCTCTCTAACTTTATCTAAGTTAAGGCTGAAGAAACCGAATCGACTAAAATGAAAGTAAATAATGATTCTGATGAGACAAGAAAGGCCACTTGTCTGTTAAATTGTGCTATTCATTGTGTTTCGTTTGGAAGCGATTCGCGTTGGAGCTCTTCAATTTCATTTTCTAGCATGGCTCTAACAGCTGGTTCATTAAAAGATGGCACAAGAGGTGAAGATGTCCAGTTCTTAGATTTTGGACCTTTCTTTTTTGTAGGTCCTGAATGAGAGTCTCTTTTCCCTCCTTTGCTACAAGTATGTTTGGAATGATCACCCCCTCGACGGTGAGAACCGTCAGCAGTTCTATCAGCTTCCTCAGCTGTTGGTAACCTTGGCATCTTTTTAACAAGCTCCACAAGATGTTCATCTATTCTAGAAACTTTTAGATTCAACCTTTGTATTTCGAGTTTCAAATCTACTCGCATGTCCATAAGGCTGGATACGATCTGTTGATACTCATTTGAACTCACGCCACCTTTAGATGGTGTTACCCCATCTTTAGTGGATGGTTTACTGTCTTTAGGAGCAGAGTCTGTAGCCCCACGAGGCTGAACTTCAGCCTGGGAATCTATACTTTCATCCCCTTTTACTGCTGTCTCAGTACTTTTTTCAGTCCTTTGCTGTGTGGATTCACTAAAATCCTGTTCTTCTTTTTCTCGAAATGTATCTGGTTGTTTTTCAACGGTAAGATTCGCTGACTTACGAAAGAAGGTGGCTTCATGTTTGGAATTAATGTTATTTGAGCGGAGAAGGGAAGGATTATAATTCCATGCATCAGAACTAATTTGTTCGTCTCTATTCATTTCTTCAGGAACCTATATTAAAAAATATAAAAGTTTTATGTAATAAAAATGTAAACCCTTACTACAAAAACATTTAGGAATCATTTGCTACATTAATATTCATTAATGATGAGATGAAATAATTATAAAACAATTGAATTAAAAATAAGGATGAAACATCGTGTCAAAATGGATCATTATATTAATATATTTTGTTTCTCGAATTCCGAATCATTTATCAAGGGGTTCATGACATATGGAAAAGAACAAATGGAAAAGATTAAAATATTTATATTTGCTTTTTATAAAATGTAATAAAAATTAAATGGTTGGTTTAATTTAATTAAATCAGATTGTAAGTGATAAATTTTTTCCATGCTCTTAAGTTTTGGGGATGTTGTGGTATTATTTGTGTTAATTAAGAACACTTAATTTTGCTCAACATTATATTAGAAAATTCGTGTGATCGTTGACTTTTTCTCATCAGTGTATTTCTATTAAGAAATAAAAGTATGTTAAAATTGCCTTCAAAGTAAATATGATTTCAAATTTTGCATAGCTTAAAATCTATTGCTACAGAATAATTTGCAATCTAAAAAGTACCGGGATTCATTCGAAATTGATATAGGGTGGGATAAAATTAGGACAACATATTCATCTGCTTATAATTTTATTAATATTAAAAATTTCCTGGAAATGACAGCAAATATCATAAATAGAAACTTATAAAAAAGATATTTTCTCTTTTTTTTAAAATGGCCTCCTTTATTTTTGATTTAGATCCTTAAATCTTTAAAGGTATTTTCAGGAATTAGAAGCAGATCTTTTTTATGATTTTGTTTAATTACAATATTTATATTCTTGCCTTCTTTAGTAATTGTTTTAACGATATTACATTTTTGTGAAACTTGGCACAGGGTTTGATTTTGAAAATCAACCTTACATTGTTATATTTTGAGTTTAAGTAGATGTAAAGCGGAAACCATTTCGGATATGCAATGAAATGAGCTAAATGGAATTTATAACATAATCCAAATTTATAGATCATTTTTATCCTGTGAATTGGGAAAAGTTTTATCACAGCATTCATTGTTTAAATTTCAGTTCTACTGAAACTATAAATATTTCAAAGCTTTAAAAATGCCCTTTTATTACGACTTTATAACAAAAAAAAGAAAGACATTTTTAATTGACTTTACAGTTTAAAAATAATGTTTTAAAACTCTTCACAGTGATTTTGAAAAAAAAAGAATGTTCAGATCAGGATCTCACTACAAAACCATTTTTTATTGAAATTAAATATTTCGGTTATTTAATAAGATATTTATTAGCGTAAGTAAAAAAAGGAATAACAAGAACAGATTTAATAGGCAATGTATATTGCACAATAAAGGAACATTTAGATAGATTTTTTATATAATCAGCTGATTTTTATATAACAGGACTCAATCTTAATGGTTCAGGGATATGCTAATAATGTTATAATACCCTTAAATAAGCTTAAGTAATACTAATGATATGATTAAATATGCTAATTAAATAATACAGTCAGCATTTGAAAATTTATGAGATCCTTATCTGATTATGAAAAAAATAAGTTCAGATCAGGATCTCATTACATAAGCAATTTGTATTGAAATTAAACATTCATGTTATTTGTTAAGAATGATATTTTTCTTTGGTAAAATAAAAAAGCAATAACTCGAACAGATCTAATATGCAATGTACAGTGCGCAAATAAAGAGAAAATTTCTGTAGATTTTTATTTGATCTTCTGATTTTCACGTATCAGGACTTAATGGTTCTTGAAGCTAAGCTTAAATATGCTAATTAATTAGTGCAGTCAATATTTGAAATTATAAAATCAAGCTCAAAAACTTACTTTTTCTGAATAAGAAAGCATTATTTTTGGCGTATTTGGATTTTTGACTCAAAGTATAGGGCTAGCCACAATCTGGAAAATATTGTCCAAATAGTTTAGATAAGAGTGTAGTTGAAAGTTTGGATCTCTTAATGATAGTTTCACTTTTTGCGTAATTTTCAATATTTTAGAAACTTCTTAAGCTTAAAAACTTTTTTAGCGAAACAAGAATTTTGCTCATCGTTCAGTCAAAAACAGTTTGAATAGTGGGTATGCAAATAGTTACAACAATTTCATTCACGTAATTTAAAATGATAATATCCGAAATTAGGAAGAAAACAGTTTAATAATTTCTGAGAAGAAAAAATTTAAAAGTATGACTTCCTTAAGATGGCAAAATATGCTAAAGATGAAATTAACATCCCAACTTCCAATCACTTTCCTACTTAAATTATAGGAACCATATTTTAGAGATTGTGGCTTGTCCAAGAAAATTAGTTTTGTTTTGCCAGATGAAATTTATATTTCGTTGAGGAAGTTTGATTAGCGTATACCATAAGTTGAAGATGTTAATGAGTTCAAGTTAGTTTCGATTCCATAAGCTGAAGATTTTGTTGATTGGTGTAGTCGTCCATATATTATTCCAGTCTTATGCAGGCAAGCAATTATTTAACAAAAATCATAAATTGCTCGATAAAGAATTAGATTATAATAAGTAAAAATGTTTTATTTTTAAAATTTATGTGTAATCATATGGAGCAAGTAAAAAAATGATATATACATATTAATTAATAAATTTAGAAAATGGCACGATGGTGTGGCTGCAGGGCCAAGCCGACAAGGCACCTCCACCCATCAATTATATCAAAAATGCAAGTGTAATGCGTACATTGAAATAGTTTTTGCCAAGGAAAGTTAAAGAATCCATGTATAGGCTATTAATTGATTAAATTTAACGCCAAGGCTCTTTTTCTTAGCCTTGCGTATTCAAGTGTGTTGGCGTAAAAGAAAGCGGGAGAAAATCATAACGAACTTTAATGAAATAAAAACATTAGCAACCACATAACGGTTTTCGAAGTCTATGCTAATGTGTTAAGTCGAAGTAGAGGGAATCTTAAACATAGATTTTATTCATCACTCAATTCAAGGTTGTGGTATAAAAAGATTACAGATTGATATTATTGATTTTTATTTATTGAAAAAGGATTTTTTAAATCATAGAAAACATGTTATGCATATATTAGCATGACATGGTTTTTAAGGGTCAAAAATCAAAATTCATGAAGAAAAAATATACATATATATATATTTTTTTCTTTATTTACGCTAAATATGTTTTTATGTCTGATTTTGCAACTTAAAAAAACTTCTGTTCTGAACAATTATCTGATTTAAAGTTAGATCCCCGAACTATTAAGACCGAGTACGTAAAACACCTGATCAAAAGTTATCACCTGATTAAAAACTTCATTCACTTCAAAAATATATAAATATCAAATAACAAGCTAATATCACATATCAAATTCAAGCTTTTCTGAAATCGACACACATTTTTAAGACTTGCAGACGTGAATGTGAAGCAATAAAATAAAAAAACGTAAAATTGCCAACGAAAAATGGAAAAATAAAGATTAGAAGCAAAACTAGAAAAACTACAGTAGCCGAAAGAGCAAAATATGAAAAACATTACACTAAAAATCACCGTGGTCGAGAGGGGCAAATCACAGCAAAATGCATTTCCACTCGCTATGGAGCGGTGGTGAGGAATTAATGTCGTTAACAAAAGAATCAGCATTCACACGAATAAAACAAAATTCCAGGGCATCAGGATGAGCTGATGTGACTGGGGTGGAAATAATTTTGGCAATGAGAAAATTGAATTTATACCAAAGATTCCAACAATGTGCAGCAATTAATGATTTCTCGAACTCTTGATGACGGACGTATTGTATATTTTTGAAGCCCTTTCAGCATGCCGACTGTTATTTGCTATTTATATATTTTGAAGCGAATGAAGTTTATAGACGGTTAATATCTTACCACTTCAGCTTCTTGAGATTATTTGTTTAACCGATCAAAAGTTATCAAGGTTCAAAAGTAATTAAGGTGTTCAGTTTTTGCTCACTGTACATAAGAGGAAAATAAAATGTCTTACGGGAGAACGGGTAGTATCCCTCTGTGGAGGAGTTAGAAGATCTCCTCTTTCAACATCAGGCAATGCAGCAATTTGGTTAGAACTGCTGGATTTCCCAACGTCACCTCCTCCATTTTTTCGGAACTTGGAAAATAGTTTTCTCACAAGATGGTCTTGGGAAATATCCGGTATGGGATCCGCTTTTCTCCTTTCGGATAACTCTCGTTCCCTTTTTACGTCAGAAACCTTCCGGAAAATCAACTAAGGAAAAAATATCATCAAACATTTTTTTCGAAACACTGTTTACAAAAGTTAAATTTATAAGTGAAAATTTTTTTTTCTTTACTTACACCAGAAATTTCTACATTTTAAAATTGTCAAACAATTGAACAGCATTGCATAAAAATATTTGTTGTTCCAAAATACTAATGGTATATCATGTTTAAAGCTTAATAGATAAAACTAAATTCAATTGCTTAAACATTTGCCTCCCGTAATGGATTTTACAATAAATAAATTACTTCCATTGCCTTACAACTTCAAACTCTATCCAAAAGACAAAAGAATTTCTTAGTCAATAATCTGATTAACTAAATTAGATAATGTTTTTTTGAATTAAAGTATCATTTATTTGCGAGGCATGGAGAAAGATCATGAAAAACTTAAATGGATCATTTATAATCAATTAAACTATTGACATTTAATTAAAATGATTGAGTAGATAGCAAACGAGTGTATAACAAAATATATGAGTGGAGTGTATAATAAAACCAGTGTATAATAAATTCAACATATATTTTTTTAATGGGAAATGTTAAGAAATCGGGTTTGAAAGTTTGACTATACACTCAAAACTCGAACTCAACAAGGCATCGATTTATTAAGTGTTCAGATATGTCCAGATAAACAGGGGATTTAAATTATTTTTTTTCAAAAAATACTTTTAGCATAAGAGGATTTTCAATTTCAATTTTATTTTTCAAAAAAATAAAATAGTATGCCAGTGCTAGTAACTTAAAAAATACGTCCCACGTTGTCAAATTTCATCCCAACAAAGCCTATCCGCAGTAATCAGGTCTTTAGAATTTATGGGAAGCGTAACCCTTGAGTTAAATCATATACTTCGCAAACACTATTTAATTCCCGGGCACGAAATGTGGTTAGCTCTGAGACAAAATCTATAAATTATTTTCTATGTAGGCCGGCATATAGCTTTCCCGACATTCGGTTAAACCAAATAAACTTGACCAAAAAAACTTAACTAGACACACTGCTTATTTATTGCATTGGGTCATAAATTAGCATTACAAAATACCAAAACGTTTTTCATCATGTGGCATTTTTGACATTCTCGTTGATAAATTAGTCATGAGAACTTTGAAACCGAAACTTTTTTGAATAATTAAGGATACTAAGAAAGTGACTTAGATCAGAAAAAAACTTAGAGATGTTTTAAAGAGTGGCCTTAGCAGTTTTTCTTCCCTTTTTTTTGTTGATATTCTGAGATGAAAAATGATCTGCAAATAATATTCACTCGCAGAAATGAAACTCTCCCTTTCGACAATTCAACAGTCCTTGAGCTATATTTCGTTAATTTTGAGAACTGCATCGTCACGAAATCACGTGATTTGTGACGAAACGGGAACTCTCAAATACATGACGAAAATGTTTTCTAAATTTGAAACGTAGTGCATTGTGGGAGAGTGTTAACTAGAAAAACGAATCTAAGATGAAGACTAGACGATCGAAAATAAGGAAACGAAATAAGCCAACTGTTTTTATTATTGTGGGCAAGAAGTGGGCCTTGTAGTACCAGGAAGATCCCGGGTTATGCTTCAGGCATAGGTGTGATTTATCACTCTGTCTTATTTGTCTTTCTCATCTTATTAGGATGACATTGACCCAGCTATATGGTGCCGACGATAAAGTGATACATTAAGTGAAAAGTTTGATACATTAAACCCTACGACATTTTTTTGCTTTTTTTTTTGGAAACTAGAATGACGATTCCTCTAAGAAGTGACGATAGTTATTCCATCACTTTGACGAAATGTTCGCTTGTAGCATATACCAGGAAATGGCTTCGTCAAAAACGAGGCAAGTTTCGTGAAATGTGAGCATCAAATTTTTACAGTGTTGTTATAATCTGCAGCACCCATTGACATGCTGGTGGGTTTCTGCTACCGAGTTCATTAGTTTTGTGTAATAATGTCGTGTTTACTTTAAAATTTCAATTATCTCAGTATCTGCTTTTAAAAAATTTAACGCATTTCGAAAATTAACGCAGACACTTAAAGTATACTTTGCACATTTTGTAAATATTTCATAGCACTAAATTATTTATGAAATATTTACAAAAATAACAAGAAAGAAGATAGTCGAGTAAAAAAAAAAAAAACCATTACATGTTTATGCTGATGAAAAGCTAAAACTAATAGTTAAATAGAAAGTGCGAAGTATTTCCAACACTTTAAAGTAAGAATTTAATTTAGCTTACCCTGTGTCGTAGGTTATACGTTAACACTAGGTTTCTTGAAAATGAGTTTGCAAAGGCATGATAAAAATTAAGCACTTCTAATAGTCTGTCTCGCTTGATAGCATGAAGATCACAGTAAGTGAGAGCTCTGACGTTCGCGCATGATTGACCAATGGAAGGCTCTTTCCAAAATGAGTCTCCAAATACGTCTCCTTTACCTGTAATATAGTGGAAATTTTATTGAATTAATTGCTAATAGGGAACATTCTAAGGTTTTATAAATTTAATGAAACATCTTCAATAAGTAAAGTCTTTAAAATTTATAACAATAACAAACAATTAAGTTCCAATTCCTGTTGAAATTTATAAAAAAAAATATTTTGTTTCAAAAGGCATATTATTATTTAAAAAAAACTACAATGTGCAAGTCGTAATCATTTTGAACATTTAGGTAAATAAAAAAAATAATATTATGGAGGAAACTTTTGATTTGTTGAAGAAGTTGATGATATATTAGTTGTCGAAGGTGTGAACTTCTGGTATTTTGAAGAAGTTGATGAAATGATATATTAGTTGAAGAAGATATTGATAAGGTATTTCAATTATTCATTATTTTATTCCAATGTGATACAGGCTATCAATCATATATTAAACATCATAAACTGCTAAAAGGAAAAATCAAATTATGATAAATAATAAAAAAATGTTTTATTTTTGAAAGCTATGCAGCTCCAAAGTAAAGAGAAATATTTTTTTCTTTGTACACATGAATTATTAAATATAAAAAAATTTGAAAAATGACCCGGAGGGTGTGGCTGCAAGGCTAAGCCCCACAGGACGTCTCCGTTTACCCAGGAATAAAAAGAGCGTCATTTATACGTTAGAATAGTTTTCGCCAAAGAAAGTTAAGGAATCAATGTATTGGCTATTAATTGATTTAATTTATTGCCAAGACTCTTTTTCTTAGCCTTACGCATTCATATGTGTTGGCGGAAGAGAAAGTGTAAGACATAATAACGAATTATAATAAATTCAAAACATTAGTAACCGTATAATGGTTATCGAATTCTATGCTAATGTGTTAGGCAGATGTAGAGGGAATTTCTAAAAATAGATTTTACTCTGCTCTTAATTCAAGATTGTGGTATAAAAAAATACAGATTATATTAATGATTTTTATTTATTGAAAAAGGATTAAATAAGATAATGATTTAGTTTTAAATGTTGGGAAATATGCTATGCACGTTTTATCATGACAACTATGGAAAATAAGGTGAATTTAATAACGATAAGAAAAAAAAATACTCTGTAAAAGGAAGCTTTAAGTTTATTATGTATAATAATTTTAAGTTAACTCTACTCAAATTAAAAATACATAATTTTTTTTATTAACGGTATGTTGATAATTGTCCAATTTTCACTCGAAATCACCATTCATTTTATTAAAATCAGTACTCTTTAAATACCAAAATACGTAGGCCATACCCCAATACCTTCTGAGTTAGAGACATCTGTACAGCAACTTTGCATGTGAAATTTTCACGACGTGTTACTATCACAAGAAATTGGGCCAAGCATCATGCCCAAGTACATTATCTTTTACAAAAACATACGATTTCAAAGGCAAGTTGGTTGAATAAAATAAGGGAATTAGGCCCAACTTTCTATGATTTTCACACTTTACTACACAAGCAGCACAACCACACTACTGCACTAGCCCACACTAGCAGCATTGGTGGCAACAGATTTGTCCGATTACAATTCTATATAGTGGCGAAAACACAACTCCCTACTTTTCCGTTTTTTTATACATGTATACTTTTTCCGTTGTTGTTTCAACTAAAATTTTAATGCCCATAAACTAAAACCAATTAAATAATTTACATTTCACAAACTTTGATGTAGAGAAATGCTATTTGTATTACCTTTTATGTTAAAAATTGGTTTTGCGTAATAGCACGGAGAAAAACTGTTTAGGTAAATTTACCGTACTGTAAGGTAAGGACTTTTCTAGAAAAAAAACGATAATTCTGGTAATAAAATCAAAATATACCGTATTTAAACCATTCATTTGGTAATATTTCAGTTCATATACTAACGGTTAACCGGAAATTCTGGTTTTTAAAATTATAGTTCTCATTACTACTCGCTTAGTAAAAAAATACAAACAACTCTCTAAAGTCTCGCGAAAAAATTACGAAATTTTATCATATTTACCAAATTTTATCACGTATTATGACACCATATATTCTTGTTAATTTTACCAAAATCGTTAGCTTCGGAAATAATTACTGATCCTTTTGGTGCTCCCTTAGAGCCAGAAACACTGCAAATTTCACCATATTCTGGTAGTTCTGACTATATTTTTTTTCTCAGTGCGATGTAAGTTGATATCTTAGAGCAAGGATATTTCTCGAACATCATTCTAGAGTGAAGATAAGCTCCAAATAATTATCACGATAGTTAATACTCATATAAAATGCCAATACAGGTAATTTACAACTGCACGTTTCCTTGAAATGGTTCTGATCTAAAGTAAATTTTTATCAGGGGGTAAATAAAGATAAAGTAAATTTTCATCAGGGGGTAAATAAAGATTTTTTCTTAAGTAAAACATAACTGCTTTGCTTTTTAGGATATGTATGATTGTTTTCAGATTAAAAAAAAATTGAAATGCTACTCTGAAAAATTAAAGATACTGTAAGTGTATGTGTAACGTTGTACTTTCAAGACATCAATAAACTTAAATTTATCTTAGATGGCTCGGCAGTTGGACTTAATTCAGTAATAAACAATTATGTAGCTTTTAAAAATAATTTTAGGCAGAGTCTATTTTAAATAATAAAATATAACGCTTCTTTGATGAAGAGAAATAAAATTACCAAGGATAGCAACGACTTCATCATCTTGTATAACTTCAAGGGACCCACTAACCACAAAGCAGAGAGTATCTATGCTCTCTCCAGTGTGATAAAGTAAATCCCCAGGGGCACTATGGTCCATGGTGAAGTACATAGCTAAAGCTCGTAGACAACCATCACTTGCTAGTCGGAAAGCAGGGTGCTCGTTAAACACTTTGCGGTTCAGATGTACACAGATGTCAGCAGTCATATCTTTCGGGCAATAACTCAGCACCTGGAAAAGTATCTGCGTTTTAAAATATAATTATTTCAATTTCTTGTTCTTATAAAATAATTCATTTGTCAAACTGTTTTATTTAGTACAATTTATTTGCAAAAGCAAAAAGCAGCTCAGCTTCAGGACAATAGTATGATTAACATAGTCTAAGTAATCATTATACGTTTAATATGTATTATTTAATAGAAAATTTAGTTTTTGTGTCCAACAAAGGAAAATGAATTACTTTGTGCTATGCAGACTAAATCAAGAAACAATGTGAATGAAACACAAATGAAAGTACATAAATTGACATACTATTATCTGTTACACTTTGGAGTTAACCGCCAAATCCTTTTACACCTTTTTCTTATTTCTTCATTGTTATTTTCTTGCCCAAACTTGCTCCTTTGTCCCTATTGAACTACTTTACTTGTGTTTGACTCTTTACTTCCCTACCTTCATTTGATGTTTAGACACCGAGGAAGGTCTTGTTTATAGAACTGGAACTATAGTATGCCAATTTATATACTTTAATTTGTGTTTTATTCACGTTTTTTTCTTTTTTAGTTTTCGTGAATTTTAGCTTTGTTTGCTTTAGTTTAGTGGGAATTCCATTTTTACTTTATATCATCATGTTTAAAAACATAAAAATAACACCTTTTTAATTTCAATTCCTTTGGCTATATCCCCATAGATACTACAACTCATAGTACATAGCTCAACTACATAGTAATTTATCAAATCTTAATTAAAAATTTATTTTAATAATTATGTTTTTTAACTTATAGAACTTCCCAAAAAATTATATTACTTCACTAGATTTCGGGTATTATTTAATATGCTTGTGGGATTTTTACCTTATATCATTATGTTTGAAAATATAAAAATAACACCTTTTTAGTATCAATTCCTTTGCTCATGGCCCAAGTGGATACTACATAATCCATAACTCTTTCACTCAAGGCTTTTGGGACTTCGTGTAGCTTCATAAACTCTCGCACATTGTTTAACATTTCATGGTACCTTGCAGTTACCGATGTCATTTGTTGAATGATGGTTGTCACATGTCCAAAGATCGTTGCATACAACAACGCTAGAAAGGAAAATTAAATAATTTACAGAGCGAAACACATTTAATTTATGATTTTTTAAAAAAGAACATTTTATTAAGTCTTATTCTGAACATTATAATGTCACGCTTTTAAAAATTTCTCGGAAAAAATGGTTCAATAACAATTTTTTTAATTGGTATTTTACTATATTCAAACAAAATAGTCGAATAACCATAAATAAGACGGTTTTTTCAAATTGTTAACTGTGAAAAAAACACCGTTTATTAATTAACTTCACCTAATATGGCTAACCAACCAGAATTTTGTCGCACCAACTTTCATAAAAATTTAGTTTACAGTGCCTAGCACTCCTAAATTGTGTTCCTGTACTAGTGGAATATGATACTCTGATTCTCACATAGATGGCGGCTCCATAAAGCTGCTTAATGCAAAAAAAATCGAGTATTTCACATCTCTTACGATAGTTGAAAGAACCAGATAAACTAATTGAACTACATTCCACTGTTCATTTGATAAAAAATTATTTGATTTATGCAGTAAGATCTGGAGAGGATATTTGTGTTGGATTTTGGAAATTAAAAATCAATGGATATGACTAACTAATTTGTAAATTTAAGGCATGCCCTTCAAATTGCAATAAATCAATTACAATAAATCAACCAATATTGCTGAACGTTTTTATAATTGTCATTCTAAAGTTACGGTAAAATAAATGGTAGCAGTCTGTCTAACTAATTAACCATAAAGTTTACGGTAAAGGACAGTTTTTAACTTTTTGGTTATTTAACTATTTACATCTAGCATGGTTACAAAACCGTAAGAAAGTCATTTATCTTCAAATTGGAGCTAAATTTTTCGTTAGGTAAAGGACGTAAGAGCTATTTTGGGGTTGAGCATTGCTTTGTCAAGTGAACCGGGGAATACGGCTTAATAAGTATATCTAATGGTGGCATCTATCTTCGTAGAAGACGAGAAACTATGAACTTTTGTGTTAACCAGCTTTGTGAGACTGCCATCTGTGTGTTAATAATAGTTTTGCATTCCAATAGTCAAGAGTCACCAATCGAAGAATACAAGACGCTGGAAATACTTCATGTGTTCAATGGCAGGAGGAAATATTGTGGTGTCAACGTCGGGACTCGAACCCCAGTTCTTTCAGTAATAAATTTGGTAGGCTAGCCCTGTCGGCTGTGATATGTACGCATCTGCAAGGAACTGTGTGCCTTCATTAGGTGGTGCGATAAAATTCTGGTTGCTAAGCGTATTAGGTAAAAGCAGTTAATAAACGGCCTTTCTGACATTTAGCAGATTGAATTCCATCGTGTTGATAGTTATTTAACTGGTATTGTTTGGATATGATAAAATAACAATTAAATAAATTGTTATTCATCCGTTTTCCGAGTAAATTTCAAACAGTGAAGGAATATAATTATTTTTAACTAGTTATTTTTCTTCTCAAAACTATAATATTCTCATTTTTTCTTTCCATAAATTGCTACGCTTCTTTTTCATTTTCCTCTAAATTCGTTGCTTCTTTTAATATGTGCTTAAGTCAGTAAGATATTCAGATTAAAATATGAATTTACGATTAAATTTGTTTAAACATTTTACAAAAGCTGTCAAACTTGAATTTTATTAAATTTTAGATGGATTTAGTTTAAGAAATTAATGTTTAAAAGTATTTAATAACAAGTAACAAAAATATATAAATATTTTTAAAGAAAATATTGTTATTTTATTTTTAATTGATACCATCTTCTATTTCAGGTGCGATACATACAATAAACATTTATTCAAAATTCCAATTAATTAAAATTGTTTAATAATAAAATTATAATATAATAAAATTATAATAAAGTAAAGTCATAATATAATAAAATTATAATAAAATAAAATCATAATATAATAAAATTAAATTAATTATAATAATAATAAAGTTAATAAAATTTTAAAATTGTTTAATTTTTGAAAATTGTTTTAGGAAACAATAGCAATTGAAATTTAAAATGAAATTTATTGCCTGTTGAAGTAAACTGCTGGAATTTTTGTGCACCATAATATCATTCAAATTTGCTACAATCTTAATACGGTGCCATTTAACCATATTATTGTGCTTCTAAAACTTGATTGAGAAATACTTTTGTTCTACATACACGGAAACATGTTTAAATTTAACACCTCATTAAAGTTGCAGCAAATTTGAATGATATAATGAATGCAATCCAAAAATTATGAATGCACTCCGAAAATTTAAGCAGTTTTTACTTCAGCTGGCAAAAAATTTGTACCGTATTATATTTCAAAGTACCTATTTTATGATTCAATGTCAATACTCTTTTTTCAAGAGTTTATAAAATCTCATATAAATATCACAATTGATTGAATTCAATAATTAAAACACAATATATGAAAAATCTTCAGAACTTAAAATCTGAGAAAGAGATCCTTTCTATTATTGTGAATATTATATAGCATGAAAAAAATAACAGAGTTACGAATTTTTTTTTAAAAAATCTTTTTTATAACACCTGTATTTTAACTGATTGCAACAAAATTTAAACTTAGGTAAAATTGATGAGCAGTCAGATTGCTTAGTTAAAATGAATATTAGACGTGAATAGCTATAAATAACTTCTAAAATACCATATTTCACAGAAGTTTGTGAACATTTAATTTGAACTAAGTAATGTCACTTAAAAGTCGACGAATATCACTACCTGTAATGAACTTTTAGTTTTGAACCCTTTTGTGTTAAAGGAATTAGAATCTGAAATTGGAAACAAAATGTTGTCGTTTGAATCTTATAATCTTGATCGAGTTTAAAATTCTTTTATAAGAGACATAAATTAACTAACTACGAAAAATGTAAAAGCATAGGAATCAATATCTCATTAAAAGATTGCTAATGCATTGTGTTTCACGGGAAAAAATCTACTTTAAGTGCTTTATACATTGTATATTGTATTTTTCACATCTTTTATTTTAATTAGAGTAATTTCGATTTGAGTTACTGTTTCGTCAACATTCTTTTAACTAAGATTAGAAACGGTGCTTAGTATAATGTCTTTTAATCTGATTTTATTGAATATCAGACAATATTTACAAAACATACTTTATCTGGCCTGGATATATTCGTTTAGGTTCTTAAGGAAAATTACGAAGGAGATTGGTTGGTGATCCATCAAACAATTTCTTCATCCTTCTATCACTCTGGTACTATCAATCTTGATTTTATCTTAGACTATGGCGGTTTAAGATTAAGTCAAGATTGATAGTGTTATGAACGTGGAAGAATCATAAACTTTTGGCATAAATGGTGATGCCTATGATTAAGTTTGAGCGTTTTAGAGTTTAGTTTATCTCGATATAACATATTTATATAATCTTTAAAAGTATTACATATGAAAAAGGCGCCAGGAGTAAGCAAAGGCATAGAAATGATATGATAAATCACCATGTATTCTAGATTTCAATTCAATGTCCAATAAAAAACGTCAAATTTATGTTAGTTAGCATATAATTAGAATTTCAGAAAAATAAAGCATGCATTTTTTTCTTTACAATGGTGGAAAACACCATGAGCCTCCTATGAAAAAACCGCACTTTAACGAAAATTGTTTCGGCGTAAAGAGGAAATCTCGCATTTACAGGGTGAAATGACGCTTATCACGATAAGTATCAGAGTATATTAACCCTTTACACGGCGAGAATTCCGGATCAAGTTAGGGTAAAAAGCACCGGCACTCAGAGTGCCAGTACTTTTTTTACCGTAAAATCCTTTTAAGGCAGGAAGTAAGCAAAGGCATAAAAATGATGTAATAAATCACCATGCATTCTAGATTTCAATTCAATATCCAATAAAAACGTCAAATTTATGATAGTGAGCATATGATTAGAATTTCAGAAAAATAAAGCATGCATTTATTTATTTATTATTATTTTATTTATATATTCATTCATTTTTTACAATGGTAGGAAACACCATAAGCCTCCCAAGGAAAAACCCATACTGTAACGAATATTGTTTCAGCTCAAAGAGGAAATCTCGCATTTACAAGGTGAGATGACGTTTAGCACGATAAGCATCAAAGTATGTTAACACTTTACACACGGTAAGCATTTTGGATCAAATTAAGGTAAAAAAGTACAGACAATCAGAGCGTCAGTACCTTCCACCGTATAATCCATTTCTACCGTAAAATTTTATAGCACAAAAAATCTGGTATACGATAATTTTTACAGAAATATTTGATCACGGGAATTTCAGAAAAGTAAAATATGCTTTTTTTGTTTTGTTGCAATAGTGGGAAATACTATGCGCATTTTACATGGATAAATACACACTGCAACGAATATTATGTTAGCTCAAAGAGGAAAGCTCGCAATTACAATGCAAAATGACTTATCACGATTAGTATCATATTTTATTAACCTTTTACACACTGTGAAAATTCCGGATCAAATTCCAGTGAAAAATACCGGCATTCAGAATACCAGTTCTTTTTATCGTAAAATCCATTTCTACCGTAAAATTTCATAGAACAAAAAATCTGGTATACCATAATTTTTACAGAAGTATATATTATTAAATCATTGAATCACTCTAATCAAATAAATATTACTGCAAAAAGTATTGTATAAAATTTTACGGATTCTGCTTTCAGGGTGCTATTTGTAATGTGTGTAATGTGTGCCAAAAGGGTTGGGTTCCTTGGGTTGCGTAATGTGTGCCAAAATGTGCACTATAGCCCCACTTTTTTCTAGTAATATTTTTGGGATTCAAATTGGTTTTTAAAGAGAAATTCATTTAGCTTATGGCTTGAAATTAATTTGATTTTTAAGACAATTGTTTGGAGGGAAGGTAGGTGTTTTTTTTACCTACTATAAAAATTAGCCGTTAGCTTGTATTTTTGTGCTTTTAAAGAATCAAACTTATAAATTCTGTTTTAATAAATGAAAATACTCTCTATGAGAAACGATCTAATGAATGAACGCATGAGAGAAAATAGCTTCCTACTAGATACATTACGCTGACATTTAGTGTTACCATATTTCTGGAAAGAAAGCTCTCTTTATTATTACTTTTTATTTTATTTTATGAAGTTATGAGTAGGTGGCTGCACAAATCATAGGTGGAAAAATAGCTCCCCATTCCCCTTTAAATACTAATTAATTTGTTGGAAATATACTACTCACTACCTTATAAAGAGTTAATTAACGCAGGTTCTGATACAGCAGTACTTTTGATTTCTGATAGAGGGGATATTAAAATAAATATTTTAAAAAGTAAACATTAAAATGTAATATAAATGTTTCATATGTCAAAATAAAAACTTTTTCTTCAATGAAAAGAAGAGAAAGGCAATAAAAATAAGATAATAATAAAGATAAAAATGATTACTGACCTCCAATGATCATCATGCAGATTGTGAAGGCTTTTTCATTATCCGTTTCAGCAGCAACGTTTCCAAAACCCACACTTGTCATGCATGTCATTGTATAATATAAGGCCGTGACGTACATGGTACCTCTTAAAGGCCCTTTTGTTAGTTCATGAGAATTGTTATTTGAAGAACTAGTCTTATAATAAAAATGCTTTCCTGTTGTATTTGATAACTTCCACAGCCAACTATGTATAAAACCATTTTCAGCATCACTACGTCCTATGCTGTACCATATACAAGCTAGCCAGTGAGCCACCAACATGTAGAAACAAAGCAGTAGAATCAACATGGCAGCTCCATATTCTAGATATCTGTCCAATTTTCTCACTACACGACCCAGTCGTAGAAGTCGAACAACCTTGAGGGCACTAAATAAACTACCTATACCTTGCTGAAAAATAAAAAAAAGAGAAATAGAAAATTAATTTTTTCCTTCCATTTATGCTATTGGGGATTAAAATTGCAAAATATATTAAGTTCCAAAAAGAGAAATGTTGATCTATTGTTACAAGGATCGAAATATCTTGTTACAAGGGATCTATTGCTACAACGAGATCTATTGTTACAAGGTTAATTGTTGTTGTATTTGTTACCTTACAAAATTTATAATTTCAAACTGTACTCATCAATATTTGACTACACTGGGAAAAATTCCGGATCAAATTCGGTAAAAAGTACCGCCACTCAGGGTGCCGGTACTTTGTACGATAAAACCCATTTTCAGCAGAACATGTTACGGATAAAAAAAATTGATATACCGTAATAATTACCGTAAAATCCCTGAATCAATTTAATTAAATAAATATTACCGAAAAATTACGGTATAATATTCTGCGGTAAATGCGAATTTTATGGTAAAATGGATTTTATGGATGATGCACCCAAAATGCCGGTACTTCATACCGTAATTTGATCCGAAATATGTTACAGTGTACTTTGAAGGTGTTTACAAGGAAAATATTACTGATCCTAAAATTGCATTTCTATCGTCCACAAACTTAAATTAACAAAGATACTTTTATGTAAGAGTAGTTATTGTATTTTTTAAAAATTTTTATCGCTGGCACTTGTAGCCTTCAATTAAAATGTAAAATAATGAAGTAAATAAATCTCAACTTACGTCATCGTCGTGGTCGAAGGCATTGAACACGTCATAAGGCAGACACGAGAGGAGGTCGATGATGAACCAACTACGCATATAATTCATGCGGATTATCTTCGGGTCAGAAACCACTTCCCCTCCAGGCCCCACAAACGTTGTATGGAAGTTAAGGATAATGTCGATGAAAAAAATGACGTCGACTATACTGTCTAGGACGAGTAGTGACACGTCCTCAGAGGTTTTGTTTTTAAAGGCCACATTATAAGGGACCATGATGGCTGTGTAGAAAGTGAGGCAGAGGATAACCCAGTCCCAGATGGCTTTGAAGGCGCAATAGTGTAACAATATATGAGGTGGAGTTTTAGGAGCTTCTTGACGGTATTGAGGCAGGACATCGGAATTTAGACTTATCATCTAGTTATAAAAGAGAAAAAGAGTATTCAATTATTTAAACTTATAAACATGCAATAGTTTACATATGGTTTACCGTTGAATAGTATTGTTATGGAAAGATTTTAAGTTGAATGTACACTCTGTAACAAAAAAATCGAATCACCAAGAAAGAGTTGTCCGATTGAAACGAAAATTGGTGGATAGGAAAACAATGTACAGCAGGAGTGTCAAACTCAAAAGCTAACTTGGGCCAAATAAACAATGCTTAACTTTAGGTGGTTAACTTTAGGTAACTTACAAAAAAAAAAAATCAATGTTCATAGAAACAAATATTTTTATTTTGAATAGCACATTGTAATAAACATATATAAAGTTAAATTATTGTTTGATACTTGACATCTCTTCTCTGCTACTATCTTTCCTATTTCGGAAGAAATTTTTTTGGCCGAGACTACTTTCAAAATTGACCCAACATGAGCGTTATTAATACGGCTTCGGACAGGAGATTTATTTCCATTCATAACAGAAAATAATTGCTTGCACTGATAAGTACTTCCAAACATGGAAATAATTTCATATGCGAATTTTCGAGTATTTTCAAACCTTGCCGGTAAATATTTGTAAAATTCAGGCACACCCACTTCAATGAATTTTGCCTTCAAATTTGAGTCGCACTGAATCTCAATCACTTCCATTTACATACTACTGAGTCTATATTTATTGAGAAAATCGACGAACACAAACAAAATTTGTTTTCCGAGGAATTAAAATCTTCAAACCTTGTTTCAAATTCCGTTCGAAGATTTGAAATTTTTTCTGTGTATTTTTGATACGATGCAGTATCCCTGGAATGGCAGGTGCCGCAAGTCAATTAGAATTTTAAATTTTCGCACGTACAATTTAAAATGATCCGTATAGTTTATAAATAAAGTATATTATAATTTCATATGCTAGTTTCCTTTCTAATTCACATTTCTAATTTATTTTTACTTTGAGTCGGATATATTGACTGGGCCACAAAAATGTTCATCTTGGGCCGCATGCGGCCCGCGAGTTTGACACTCCTGATGTACAGAATAGTAAATGATTAGAATTTCAGAGCAATTGAATAATTTATTGCAGAGTTACAGTAACAAGTTCAATAAGGTGTTGACGCGCCTTTAGCCTGGATACAAGCTGCCACACGACGTAGCATAGACCGATTAAGCTCCCGGATGGTCTCTTGCGGTATTTCCTGCCAAATTCGATTCAATTGTCGAACGAGGTCATCAACATTCCGTGCCAGATGCAATCGCCTTCCCATCATATCCCAGACATGCTCGATGGGAGAGAGATCTGGTGATCTGGCAGGCCAAGGAAGAGTTTGACAAGCTTGCAGACAGTTCATAGCAACACGTGCCGTATGTGGTCTGGCATTGTCCTGCTGAAAAACCAGCCCAGGGCGCTGCAAAAGGAACGGTAGCAAAACAGGTCTTAGGATGTCGTCGACGTACCGCTGTGCAGTAAGTGTACCTCTAATGACGACCAAAGGGGTCCGGCTGTCAAAGGAAATGGCACCCCAGACCATAATGCCTTGTTGAGGGCCGGTGTGGCGTGCAATAGTGAAGGCAGGATCCCCCCTCTGCCCTGTGCGTCTCCAAACACGTCTTCGATGATCGTCAGGACACAGTCGGAAGCGGGATTCGTCGCTAAAGACTATACGTTCCCAGTCGGCATCATTCCAGCCATATCTGTGCAAAACATTCATGCATACGAAATTTCAAAGCAATCGGATGATTGCTTCTTGGTGCATCGATTTTTTTCGTTGTAGAGTGTATCTAATCTTGGATCATTTCGCTTTTGTGGAGTTTAAATAACACTTAAATATATAAATAGTATTTTGATTTAAGAGCTAATTCATATTCCCCTCTAGGAAAAGGTTTGGATTGACAGTGTTGTTTTAACAAAAATGATTAAATGGGTCTGGATAAAAAGTTTAAAATCAAACAAGTAAAATATTATTTTACCTTGATTCTTGAAGAAAGACAAAAACAATAACTTACTGCAAATGATATTTTGATTCCTTCAAAGCTAGATGTACATTTTAGCTGAGAGCCCTACGTCATCATTCTATCTTTCGACTAGTTTTGCTTTAGTTGTCGTTGCTATTTACGCATCATCCCCCCCAACCCTGTAACTAATTGGTTACTTAAGCAAATATTTACAAAAGATAACCTGGTGAATTCTGTTTAAACAACTTAAATTAAATGCGACAGAATTTAATGTTACATATATTAAGTAAACGAGTCAAATACTTGTATTATTAAGACAAGTTAAATACGACACCGTTTATTGACTTTTAACTCATTTTTGCAATATTGAACGATGGCATAAAATTGTTCTATCTTGACTATAGATACGACCTGAGAAATTATCCTTGTTATATCTCTTGCACATTTGCACTGCAAAGGAGATAGAAGATGCTGAAAAAATCATTCGGAATTCTTTAGTGTTTCTATTCTTTCTCTGTACTGTGTTTAAATATATACCAGTGATTAAATATATAACAAAAATGCATAACTGCGATTGACATTGCTCATATTACTATACCTCTATTATTGATTTTGTTCTATACTTTGTGGAAGCATTTAATTAAATTTTCTTGAGGAAGAAATTAAATTTTTTTGAATTATTAACAAGAATTTATTTTGTTTTCAAATTGATGTACAATTCGTTGAAATAATAAATGTTATATTTTGTTGCAGTTTAATTTATCATTTGAAAGTTTCCAAAATTTATTTTCTATACTTACATGAGCGATCTGGGATTGTTTAGTGGAATCTGCTTTGATGGCAGGCAAATGAGAGGAAAATTGTTGAACAAAAACAGAACGGCTTTTCGTTACGGACCGGGCAAGACGGGCAAATTTGCTAAGCCCCACTGAAAAAGAACAGAAGTAATAATAAGAAAATATCATTAAATATTAAACTCCATAGGAAGTTGCCTCGATTGTCATTTATCTGTCACGATGAATTTTTATAATTTATTTTCTAGTATAAATTAATGTTAATAATTTTTTCATCTCCTACTTACTTGGTTATGGGATTAGAACTAAATGTAGAATTTAATGACTCAAGTGGCTATGTTTTGTGACTTGGTTATGGAGAAAATTGCCCCAAAAGTACCTATTTTTGCAGGTAAAATTAGCATTGTCAGTTCCTTTTGACTCATGAAAGCATATTTTTTGGATGCACACTGCAAATATTTATCGATATGAGAACTAATAAAAATTTGCAATTTTTTTAAAAAATAAATCCCTGTTTCCTGTAACATATGTTTTAATGAACAGCAAAATAGACAAAATTTCTTTAATTTGTGATCAATTAGGACCAGAAAGTCATCAGTTATTCTGATATTACGGGGAGCTACTATTTCTCTTTAGTTTTGATTAAATTTGTTTTATTTCTTCCTTCATTTCATTGCTTAACCATAATTTTACCGATTAAAGGCACTGGTTACAAATGCTTGATTACATAAGAAGGAGTGTAAATTACAATGCTCAAGTTATCTAATGCACCTAAGTTCATCTATCAACAAAATTGACGTAAAATGGTATCACATTTGCTATAAACTATAGAACTCATCGTGATTTGCAAATGATGCTTTAATTTTCTCTTTTGTAAGGCATTGTTTAAATGCGTGGCTATAAGAAAGTATTGCATAGTGTGCATCATTTTGTTTTAAGGTAAAAAAAAGTGCAAATAATTCATTGATGTGTTAGTTTGAAATGCCATAACTAACATTTTATAAGAAAAAAACTTTAATTTTTTAGTTTGTATTAAAATAAATTATTTCATATTTAATTCGCTGATATGCAGCAAACAACACTCGTACGATTAGAGCAAACTAATTATATTATTCAGTTCCGAGAGATTTATAAAAATCCAGCAGTTTTTTCCGAGTATATGGGGAATCCAATATCCAAAATATATGGGGAAAATATATGGGTATAAATAATATATATGATAATATACGGTAATATAAGGGAAAAAATTCCGCAAAAACAGTACAAATATCATTAATTCGATAATAATACGACCATCTACGTTTTTAACTCGCTAGACGTACAGTGCGTAAAAAAATAAGCTGACTACTCTAAATAACTTTTAATGTAATGATCGTATTTTCACGTTCTTTAACTCAAACTTTATGGTTCAAAGGGGTGACCTTAAATATGCTAATTAATTAGTACAGATGTTATTCTAAATTACGAAATCACACACAAAAATGCTATTTCTCTGAATAAACATGCCTTTTTTTCAACGAATTCAGATTTTGCATCCTCAAAATATAGAGGGTAGCCGCAATCTGGGAAATATGGTCCCAATAATTTGATCAGGAGAGTGGTCCTAAGTTTTTCACTTTTTGAGCATTTCACCAAATGATATTTTAAGTTATGATATCCGACACAAAAACGTACTTTTTTTGAAAAAACATACTCTTTTTTCGACGGTTTTGGATTTTTGACCCGCAAAAGATATAAGGGTAGCCGCAATCTAGGAAATATGGTTCTAATAGTTTATTCAGGGTAGCGAGCAGGGGGTTCCAATAGTATAGTCCGAAGTTTGGATCCCTTAATGTTAGTTTTACTTCTTGCGTATTTCACCATATCTCAAGAACTTTTTAAGCGAATTGACAAATTTTTGCACACAGTTGTAAAATTTGTTTATCCAACGATAATTCCATGCGAAATATAACTTTTTTTAAAAATATTTAATATCTTATTTCAAAAAGTCGAAAAAAGTTTGAATTCCAAGGTATACAATTTTTCAAATCATTTTAAAAAACATAATTTTAAATGACAAAATACAAAATTTGAACGAAATGGATAGAATAGTTTCTGAGAAGCAGAATTTTGTAAAAATCGTATTATTAAAATTAGATTTTAGAAACTATTTGGAATTATTCGATAGGAACTATTATTATTATTCGATAGGAACTCAGGAACTATTTGAAATTATTCGATAAAAATTTATTCAGAGTGGTCCATTTCTTATTTTGCTCACTGAGCATAATATTCCAACACTGAAAAGGTTGTTTGAAGTTTATTGACATAAAAGCTAGGAGTACATTTCCTGCGTCAGTCGCTTAGTTCAAAAGTTACGTTTCACTTATTTTTAAACTGTGCGTATAATTCTTTTGCTTCGATAAACTTACTAACTTTGGGATGCATATGATTTTCGATCAAGGATGGAGGATCAGGATAAAAGATGCCAAAAATTTGTTCCTCAACAGTTTGAATCGTGTATAACAGTCAGTTAAAATATATTTAATGGTGACGCTGGTTCGTTCAACATTGAGAACAACTAGGCGCAAAATTCGCCAGCTCTCAGTATATGCATATGGATATATAGGGAATGATAAATGCACAGCTTATCTGGGTTTTGCGGTAGATAACTATCATTTTGAAGTTATCAAAGGCTGGTTGAATTTCTTGTAATTTATTATCAACGTATTTCAACGTTCCTTCAAGGACTTTTGTTTTGAAGATTTATGCAATCGTTTTAAGTTCAGACGTTTTAAAAGATTTTCAATAACATTTTAAGTGCTTTTTGCGACAATATGGGTATGTTTATTCCTTCTTAAGATTGAAATAAGTAGAAAATATCACATGACCGTTTTTGATTAGAAAGGGGAAATATTTCATGTAAGTTACTTATATAGGTATAGGCTTATATAGGCTTATTTTTTTAAGTAACTTACTTGAATACAAGCTTAATATTCATGTAAGTTACTTAAAAAATAAGCTTGTGGATCATATTTTTCATTTTTACTGCTATAATCAAAACTTCATTTTTAATTATAATTTTCTATTATATTTTTTTAATAAGTGCTTTTGCACGTGGATTCTACTCTTAAGAAAATGGTTAGAGACCTGCAAAATATGAAATAATACGAAGAAAGGATATATGTCTTAATAATTGAAGGCCTATGGACAAACTATTTCTTTATTTATGCACTTTTATCATTTAATATTGCACTCTAATTGAAAGAAACACTTATATGTTTATGCTTGAGTTCCTCGTACACTTAAAATGTCTTAAAATACATGTATCAATATAAGATTTTGATTTTAGATATTAAATTTTGAAATAATAGCAAAAAGCTTAGAAAACTAAATTTCAAATTTGAAAAAGAAATATAACAAATCGAAAATATCATGATGATCACTTTTTCGTCGTTTTCGGCCAAGATTTGGAATGTTCAAAACCAAAACCTTACCAGTTATTTAATATTTTACTGGCAAGGTTTTAATTTTTAACATAATCCTTCTAGTTGCAAAATATTTGGGACTCTAATATCTGTCTTGTAGTGCTTTAAAATATTAATCTGTGCTTTAAAGCATTCTATTGAAAGCATGCAGTATAAATAAGTGATCTATGGCAATGTGAAATCTATAAATCTATTGAATAGCATGCAGAGAATGTGCAATAGTGAAACAAACCTTTTTTTTTACCTTTCGTAGTCTCTTCCTCTAAGGGTTGCTTAAGGGCAGTGATGTCGCGAAAAGTGAGAAGGAAGAGAACTACCAGATCTTTCTCGTTCCTGATGGGGGCAATGTGGAGGAGGAGCCAAAGAGGAGTATCTGAAAAGATACAGGATTCTTTTGCTTACATATAATTCAATTACGAAAAATGTTCGAAAAGTTATGAGAAAAAAACCGATTTTATTGGATTGCTTTATGCTCGTTGTATAACTAAAAACTGCAATTTCGACTTTTAATTTTCATTAACAAATTTCTGCCAATCTGAAGTTAGAGAGAAAAATTTCATGCATTGTCAGAATTTTCCTTCTAAAATTACGGTTAATTAGCCGGCGACAGTCTGTCTATCTCATTAACCGTAAAGTGTACTGTTAGGAACATTTATTTACTTTTACAGGTTTGAAACGTCTCGCCGTGGACTGATCGTAAAGACACGGTTTCCAGCAGAATACCGAAGTTAAGCATCACTGGCTGGAGTCATTAAGCGGGTGGATGACCACTTTGATCAGCCTGCGTAGGGACCGAGGGCGCGCGGTATCGGTCCTCGTTGAACTGTTCTACCGTAAAGTGCTCGACTTCTCGCGCAGGTCGTTTGGCTACCAAAGGTGAGCAAAAAGATCAAAATTGCAATGGCATGTCTTCGGATCATCCTCAGGGATGTTTCCTAGATCGTCGGCAATAGCCCATTGTGCAGCTCTCGTAAATAAAGTGCATACCTACCTACAAGTTTGAAACAGTTTACAACTGGTATGGTTAAAAATTGCAAATACAAAATTATACGGTTTTGTAATCGTTTCTAACAAGCATGGTTTCAAAACCGTAAAAATTAAATTTAACTTGGAGTTGTATATGAGTTAGGTAGTGCTTAGATTTTCGTTTGGTAATGGACATTGGAATTAGGTTGTGATTGAGTTGCGTTTTGTCAAGTGAACCATGGAATGTGGGTTAATTAGTTTATCGAGAATGCAATCTATCGTGAGAGATAGGAAATACTAGACTTGTTGTGTTAAGCATCTCTGTTGAGCTTCCATCAAAGTGTGAAGGAGAATTTCATATTCTAATAGTTAATGGTAAAAATAAAAGTGAAAAGTGCTGACTGAATCACCAATGGAAACTCATCATGTGTTGCAAGAATGGCGAATGCGTTGAAGGAATGTGAATTAATGTCGAATGTGCTGCAGGAATGTTGAAAGATTGTGATACGAACCGCCGATCAGGGAATCATGACATTGACGTATTAGCCCTCTCTGTTAAAGTATGTGCCCAGCTGGTGAAAACTAAGCTGCAAATCGTTATTTCACCACTTTTTCCGGAAACATTTCTAACAGTGTGGTTTCATAAAATATAAATTGTAGTGAGTAATAATTGCAAGATCTAGTAAAATTAACGTTCGTAACATATGTGTATTGAATGCTTTTCATTAAAAAATTAAGCGAATATAATTTTTCTCAAATTTCAAGTTACCTTTTATTATATAAAAGCTTGTGATATAAAATGAACAGATGCATTATCCTTCAAAAAGTATTACAAACATTGAACAAAAATTATATTAATTTTAATTTGAAGAAAATGTTTTCTTTAAATTTATGGTCTTCTCGAAAATTTCCCAATTTTTTATTATCTATTTTATTTAGATTTCTTTTTGATAAATCAGTAAATATAAGAAACTTTAATGTTTATTTTAAAATTGAAGTATGTTGCACATATTCTCCTACAACAAGCGAACAAATGTACCTTTTTTCTATAATTTCTGAAAAAAAAACTAATGAACTCTTCTTTAATTCGTATTAAGCAACCAATGCTTGACAACACTACAAAATTAATGTGACCTCGCTATAATTAGTACTTATGTATATACTTATAATATATATTTGTAATTTATACTTATGGTGCCCCTAAAACCACCTATGAAATGGAAACTATGAAACAATGCATTTGAAATACAATAACACTTAAAAGTTTGCGTATGTGATTGCCTTAATGCATTGTTAGAATCTTTATTCCAAAATTAGGTTAAAATAACCAACAGCCGTCTGTCCATTCAATTAACCGCAAAACTTACGTTAAAAATATTTTTTACCTTTGCGGTAGTTTACAACTAGCATGGTTAAAAAAGCATGAATACAAAACTATACTTTTTTTTTTAACCATTTACGACTAGCATGGTTTCAAATTCGTAAAAATGAAATTTCATTGGACATTGATGGAGCTAGTTTATGTTAGGCAATGGGCATTGGGTTTAGGTTGGGATTGAGTTGTGTTTTATCAAATGAACCATGGAATGTGACTAAATTAGTTTATCTAGTGGTGCCATTTATCTCAAGAGATGAGAAAAACTAGACTTTCTTGTGTTAAGCAGCCTTATGGTGCTGCCATCTATGCATGAATGATAGTATCAAATTCTAATAGTATCTAATGATTATTTTATCAGTAGATTCTAATTTATTCATTTGCCTAAATAAAAAAATGCTTAAATTATTGCAGTTCCTAGAACTTTTGAATGCAACCAATAACAATTCTAAAGATTCATGAAAGAATGACCCAGTAAAAAATAATAGAGTAAAATCTACAATAAAAATAGTATGCCAAATCTAAAATAATATTAGATATAATATTTAGGAAATTCCTTACGTACTATAAGCTGTATTTCAAATTTTTAGCTGCTATTTTTAAATAAATGTCAAACTATTCTTTAAAATTCCTCCAAACGTTGTTCATACTTTAAAAATATCAAATATTTAATAATTCTAAAGAATTTATACCCATCTAATGCGGTATTATGTGATTCTAAATATATTGTTTAAATTTAAAAAAAAGGAAAAGATAGCAAAATTATCTTCCTTTTTTGGGATTAGTATAAGTAATCTATTCTTAGTAAACAAAAGCTTAGTATTAGCTTAAATTTAAGTAAAAACAAATGACTGAATTTAATAACTATAACTAAAAGACACTTGGAAAAAAATATGAAATTTATGCATTTCGTTAATATTTCTTTACCGTTGTCCCATCCTAAGCCGGGAGACTTCCTGCCTAGACTACCGGAATCTGCTGAGTCTGGAGATCGAGTCGCAGGAAGCCTGGCTAACACACTATCCAGCTTGCATCCTGTAATAATATAAAAAATCCTTTTCAATATTAACATTTTAATACGTTTATTTTTATATTTTTCTTAAAAAAACTATTAATATGCATACAAGTTTCACACATACAGTTTGCAAAAAAGGGAGATCCAGAATTAATTATGATCTAATGATATAATTACCATGTGCTAGAACTCAATTTTAATTGTGTGAGAATCCCATCTAAACTATGCTAATTACTAGAGCAGACGAAATTTTAAGTTATGGAATCGGACACAAAAACATATTTCTTTTTATTAAACACACCTTTTTTTTCGCCGGATTCGGTTTCTTGTCTTTCAAAATATAGGGGATAGCCGCAATCTGCAAAATATGGACCACATAGTTTAGGTAGAAGAGCGATCGAAAGTGTGGGTTCTTTAACACGAGTTTTATTTTTTTACGCATTTCGTCATATCTCTATCTATTTCGTTGTATATATTGGAGCGAATTAAGAAATTGCACACAATTATAAGGTTCGTAATGTTTGGTAATTTTTTCGTTCATTTGGTAACAGTTTACCAAAACTTCTGGTTTTCAAAATCATCTTTCTTATTAGCACACATTTAGTCAAAAATTAAGTAAATTTCACCGGATAAATGATTTTTTATGCAATGCTCTAAGAAATCCTGATAAAATTACCAAATATTATTTATACATTTATTTTTTGTTTATTTTCCCAAAATCATTACTGATGTGCTTCGTAAAATTTCTAAGCTTTTCGTCATTCTCCTAAAGACAGAGACACGGAAAATGTTACCATATGCTGTTAGCTTTTCCAGACTTTTTTTTCTCAGTGTAGATTTACAAAGAATGTAACAGTTTTCAGGATTATTCAGTATTTTCATTCAATCTCGAGTTATAACGTTTTCATGATAAAATCATGAGAACGAAAAACCAATTAAATTAGAAAGATTAGTAATTCACTTTAAAAATAACAAATATATAATTCTTATTGCAGTAAATAAAGGAAAAGTAAATGTTAACAAACATTTTTACTAGTATTGGAAAACCTTTTCCTTTTTTTGATAGTGTAAAATAATTGTTCGCCTTTTGTGAGTTTTAAACATAAGCTTTCTAATAAGAATGAATCAAATATTCAACTCCACTAGGATCTCATGTTGGTTAGAAACTCTTTTTTTTTTAACAAATAAACAAAAGGCAGTTGGAATAACTTGGTACTAAAGTAAGTGGCATATTGGAATTCAATAATCTTTAGGTAACCTTTTGACTCAGAATTTTAATTAAACAGATTTTTCAAATATATTTTTGTATTTTTTTATAAATTTAGGTCAAAATATAAGCGAAAAATGTTATATTTAGCATTTCAATAATTTATAGTTATGAAATGCAGCATGAAACTCTGATGTCTTTTTCTGCGTTAAAGGTAAAATCTTCCAAACAATTCTTTTCAAATTTACAGTTATTTGAAGCTAATTTGATCTAAGAGAATCAGTTATTTCTTACTAAAATTACCCCAGTTTACAAAATCAAATATTGATTAATTTTTGCATATCAATGAAAAAAAAATTCAAACTACTTTTTTTTGGATTTTATATTTTAACACAAATATAATTCCGATAATCTAACAGATTTTTTTAATAACTATTAGACTGGTTCGTAAAATTAAAAAATGTCTAAAATATATTTTTGCTTGTAATTAGAGAGCGAGAAAAAAAATATATATAAAAGGGACACCGATGCCCAATCTGCGTCAAAGGGTTAATGAAAAGTTTAGGTTTTGTTTCATATCAAAATTACCTTTTTGCCTACTTTTATTTATTATCTATTATCATTAATTATTATTAATTATTTATTTTTTTTTCAATTTCTTTCTGAGCCTCATTTGTTATTAAAAGCGAAATTTCACGCAAGCGTTGAGTGTGGCATTTCTATTCTAAGATGTCTTCTGTCTGTGACTATTTCTGTAGTTTTGCTCTAGATCTAACTCAAAGGTGAGTTAAATAACTCGAAGATGTTAAATGCAAAAAAAAGAAAAAAAGAAAAAAAAGAAAAAATGAAACGTAAAAATATGCTTGATAAATGATGTCGATCTGTTATAAGAGCTCAAATATTGATAACCTTGACTGCATCGGACAAATTAGGGTCTCTTTAAAATTTAGATAAAAGGAAACCGATACGTACGTCATCAAAAATTTGATACATCACATACTGTTGTGAATTGTTTGAATCTTGGACACAAATTTAATTTCGACAAAGCCAACTCTCTTTCCACCCTTGTCACATCAGTTCATCCTGTTTCATTCCTATGAATGCCAAATTCTTTGTTAACGATTGTTGTTATCGATTTCCTTGATTTTTTCCTCGATCATTTCACCATAACACTTGGAAATGCATTCTGCCCTGATTCATCTTTCTCGGCTCCTAAGGTTTTTAATCTTTTTTTTTTTTACTTTATTTTTCATTTTTCGCTGGCTACTTTACGTTTTCTGTTTCACTTACGGCTAATTCTAGTTTTGTTTTTTAACTTAATTTATATTCCATTTTTTCGTTGGTAATTTAACGTTTTCTGTTTGATATCTCATTTTATTTTTCTCATTCACAGATATTGAGTCTTGAGAATGGGCACCTATTTTTGAGTACTCGATACATATTGACTCTTATCACCTTAATAAATTTTTGAAGTGAATGAAGTTTATAGATCATCAAGATTTACTCGAAGATGCGTCGGTAATCGATGCAAGGGGTGCCTTGTCTGTTCATGTGAGTTAAAAATTAGAAGGCAGGAGGGAAGATCGTTATTACCTCAAGTAAAGTGGAAAAACTGTTCATTAATAATCTTAGAAAAAAAGAAGTTAAATTTAGAGCTGCTCAGTGCTGTTTTAACTCTTTCTATTTTTCTAAAAAAATATTATAAATGAACATTATAGTATCACATTGTTTTTCTCAAAATAATTTAAAGTAAATTAGTTACAAAAGTTTTAAAAAACGTTCATGATTGATTTTGCTAAATTTTCATATTCTAAAATGGTTTATTTTTCAATTTTTATAGATGATGTAACACTACCGACTAATAGAGATATTGATACATTTATATACATTTTAATTTTTTAAACTAAAAATGTTGTACTGCTGAAAGTTTTCCTGGTTTTTCTATTCTTAAGAATTGCTTTAAAATACCAAAATTTACTATTAATTTCGTTAATGATTTTTGTGATGATAAGGAATGAGGTCTTTTCTTCCCCATCTAAGAAGAAATTTTCTTAGTTAAACTTGCATTAAGTATGCTTTTATATAAAACTTTTTTCACCAAATGTAAATTAAGCAGAATTTTTACTTTCACATTGTTAAATATTCGAAGAAATAAAACCCAATAAGGAAAACAAGAATTTCCCTTCATAAAGTAAAAGGTACGAAATGAGCAGCATCAGATAATAGTTTTTTTAAGTCCCGTTGTAAATGCTCATATTCATAATATTAAATTTTTCATCGGTATTTTATGTAGAAAGAATTTCATTTATTCTGACACGCATTTGAATTGTCTTAAAATAATCAAATTTCTGCAAGAAATGCTTTTCGGTTTTTAAAATTTCTTAAGTTTTTAATTTTTACAGGCAAAGTAAAAATTAAACATGTCTTGAGAGCCACTCATGCCACTAATAGAGATATTCCACTAATAGACATCTATAGAGACATGCCACTAATAGACATCTATATACATTTTTAATTTTCAAACTAAAAATGTTGCATAACTGAAAGTTTTCCCGGTCTTTCTATTCTTTAGAATTGCTTTAGAATACTGAAACTTACTATTAATTGCGTTTATTTTTTATTTTTTTTTAGTTGATAAGGAATGAGGTCCTTTGTTCCCATTGTCTTATATCTAAGAAGTTTTCTTAGTTAAACTTTAATGAAGTATGCTTTTATGTAAACAATTTTTTCCACCAAATGTAAATTAGGCAGAATTTTTTATTTTCACATAATTAAACATTCGGCGAAAAAAAAGGCTAGGGAAAACAAGAATTACCTTTTAAAAAGTAAAATTCACGAAATGAACAACATCAGATAATAGTTTTTTTTAAGTACCGTTGTCAATACTCATACTCATAATATTAAATTTTTTATCAGTATTTTATGTAGATTAAATTTAATTTATTCAGGCACGAATTTGAATTCTCGTAAAATAATCAAATTTCTGCACGCGATGCGTTTCATTTTTTAATAATATTTCTTAACAACTAGTTTCATTTCGTTTCATTGTGCTTCTTTTTTTTACTTTTTCTTTTTGATAAAACTCTTTAAAGCATACAGCCAGGAAAATGTTTTTACTTGCTCACTATAAATACAACTAACACAACTTCATTTCGAAATATATGGGAATGCTTTTGTTATATTTGTTTGTCTTTTCGCATTTGATAGACCAGTTTTAGTTTTATTCAGATTTGGAAATAAATTGACAATATTTTATTATCTTAGCTTTAAATAGTTTATAATATTTAACATATTTGTAAATAATAACTTGTAAATAATAACCAAAGAATGATAAAACTTACTGTGATTCTGGTTCTATGGGAACACCAAAAAGCACGTTAATTTGTTACCGAAGCAATTTAATAATGATTTTGGTAAGATTAACAATAAAATATTGTTTAATAATGAGCGTTAATAATTGGTAAATGAAGTAATTTTATCATGATACCTTAGAGCAATGCATAAAACCCTTTATTTGGTTAAATTTACTTTTCAGTTACGTATTTTTACTAAATGTGTAGTAGTAAGAACTATAATTTTGTAAACCAAAAATTCTGGTGAGCCGTTGCCATATGAACGAGAAATTTGCCAAATGAATGGTTTAAGTTCGGTATATTTTGGGTCTTATTTATCAGAAATATCATAAAAGTTTTAACAAGCGTTATTCAGCGTAAAAATTCTCACTCTAAACAATATTCCACTTATTTATATAGTAATATTAAATGCGTTTATAGGTTCAAGTACAAATCTGTAATTTTTATACATAAAGCCTTGATAACTTTTGAACTACATTGTTAGAATTTTTATTTTAAAATTACCATAAAATAACCTGCAGCAGTCTGTCCATCCAATTAATTGTAAAGTTTACGGTAAATAATATTTTTTACCTCTACTGTATTGAAACCTTTTACAACTAGTATGGTTTCAAAACCATAACAAGTTTAAGTACAAACCTGTTCTTTTTATACATGATAACGTTTGAACTACATTGTTAGAATTTTCGTCCTGAAATTACCATAAAATAACCTATAGCAGTCTGTCCATCTAATTAATTGTAAAGTTTACGGTAAATAATATTTTTTATCTCAACTGTATTGAAACCGTTTACATTTAGTATGGTTAAGAAACCATAAAAAATGTATCTGGACATTGGAGATGGATTGTGGTTGAGTTGTGTTTTATCAAATGAACAGCAGTAGAATGTGGCTTAATTAGTTTATTTGCTTGTTTCACCTTTTCCATAATTAGTTCATTTGCTTAGAGGTAGGCATTCCGTTATTTAATGGGCACTGGAGTTAGGTAGTGGTTTGGTTGTATTTCTTCATACGAACGGTGGAATGTGGCAAATGCGAGCGTTTTGTCTTCTGAGGAACCACAGTTATACTATCTCGCAATGAAGAAGAACCTGACACTGTTTTTATATTAAAATTCTTACTTATTGAATTACTATTTCACGTTTTGTCAACAAACAGCTTTAAACCGTCAAAACCATTTCCTTTTAATGCTTTTTAAAAATGATTTTTTTCTAATTTTATTAATTTTTTTAACTTTGTATTACAAGACTTTTACATGATTTAAAATTTAACGCCTGTTGCGCCCCAATGCGAGCTGAGACCAGTATTCGTACGACCAGTTGCCACTGGGATTCGAACTTTACTGAAAATAATAAGATTTATGAAATTAAGTTATAGCATGTTATGTATTAATGCGTTTTCGGATTTCATGTGTTTTTATAAACGTAAATATTATTTTCTCAAAACAGCGCGTGTATTCCATACTTGAGGACACGGCACCTATTCCGATATGTTTAAAAATTTAACATAATTTGCAAATTTTCGTTTTTTAATTTTTTTATTTCATTTACAAGTTTTAATTTTTTTCTGAGAATAAAAGCCTTTTTGTTCAATATGCCATTTCGCTGATTTTTTTATTTTGCAATTTATTTTTATAATTAACAAAATTAAAGTGGTGCTTATCTTTAACATGTGCAGCGTGCGAAATAAAAAACAGCGGGATAAAAATATAATTGGATCTGCACGTTCTAGGACTCAATTTTATAAATTCGAGGAAGTAACCTGAAATATGCTAATTATTTAGTGAAGACGGTATTTTAAGTTAAGATATAAGACATATAAACGTGCACAATCGAATAAACATACCTTTTTTTTTCAACGGATTCGTATTTATGACCCCCCAAAATAAAGGGGGTAGCTGCTATCTGGGAAATATGGTCCCAATTGCTTAGTCATCAGAGCAGTCCAAAGTTTGGATACCTTAATGTTAATTTTACTTTTAGTGTATTTCACCATGTTTCGAGAACATTTTAAGCGAATCGAAAATTTTTACACGCAATTATAAAATTCGTTTATCCAAAAATAATTTCTTGCAAAAAAATAACTTCTAGTACATATTTATTATATTTTATTATTTCATTTAATAATAGCCGAAGAAATTTGAAATTGTTTGGTGTATTACAGAAACTTAAAGAATGCAATTTTACATCGCAAAATACAAAATTTGAGCGAAATCGGTTTGATAGTAGGGGAGAATGGGGTAAATTGTAACATTTTTTACTTAACTATTTTTAACTAACAAAAAACCCAATATATTATTAGTATTAATTGACNATCGTCTAATGTATCCAATGCTTCATTTGTTAAAAACAATGCTAGTTAATTAACAAAACTAATCTTTTTTTTTGAAATGTTAATTAAGGTGTCCACTTACATATTCGGTTAATCATTTTTATTTATTTAAACAAAATTACTTTGTTATAATATAATATTCTAATACCAAAAAAAGTACTTACGCAGAGTGAAAATATCTTTTGTGATGTAACTATTTCAAAAGTACGTAAAAATGGTTGCCAGCAGGGGTGTACATGTAGATTTATTAAATACACCTTGTGTAACACCTAGGAACCAAATCTAAAACCCGACACTCGAAATTTTTGCTATGTTACAATCGTACCCTGTTACAATTGACCCCACTCTCCCCTACCTAATAAATTTAATTTTAAGAAAGTCGCATATTTAAAATTCGATTTTTCAGAAACTATTCTATCGATTTCGCTCACCTTTTGAATATTGCAATTTGTGCAATGCAAAATTGCATTCTTCAGAAGGATGTAAAATATTTTGTACCTTACGTTTCAAAAGTTAACCGAATATTATTAAATTAAATAATGAAAAATCATTTTTTTGTTTGAGACATTTCTTTGGATAAACGAAATTTATAATTGTGTGCAAAAAGAAATTTAAAATGGGTTAAAAAGTTTTCGAACCATAGTAAAATACGCAAAAAGTGAAATTAACATTAAGGAGGAAAATCTTTGGACAGCTACCTTGACCAAACTATTGAGATTATATTTCCCAGATTGCAACTACTTGGGGAATAAAAATCCGAATCCGTGGGAAAAAGGGCAAGTTTATTTAGACGAAGCACGTTTTTGTGTTTGATATAATAAGTTAAAATATCGTCTGCACTAACTAATTAAATTAGCATATTTGAGGCCACCCTCTCGAACCATTAAGATTGAGTCCTATAACGTGAAAATCGAAGTTATACAGGTCTGTTTTTTATTCTGATCTGTTTTTTATTTTTCGCACTGTAAAAAGTTTTTTTCTTCACACAAGTTTTTTCGTGTTTAAACGACTTTAAATGACCGGGAATTAATAGGTCAAACAAACTATTGCACACATATAAAAAGATTAAAAATGTCTTTTTTTAATCGAAAACGAGTTAAGTTTCAAGATCGTGTGGGTATAAACAATTCACGAAGCAGACGACATCACATTTCTAAAGAATATTGAAAATGAATACGCGAAAATGGGTGTTGAAAAACACGCATGAATCTCAAGAGACTTAGAAAAATAGGACTAGCATTCAAAGACAGACAAGTAATGACACAAATACTAGACATGATAATTTTTATTTTTCATAAATATAAAAAGCAATATAACTTAAAAAGCAAATATGATTATACATTTTCATAAAGGAAACTATAAATTTTCGAAATATTTTGCAGAATATGAAATTTTATAGCATTAAATTATTTTTTTCATTCACTTCTTCTAACAATGAGGATAACTTATAAATTATACCTTGTGAAAGAATTAAAAGCTTTTTTTTACTTCACATTTTACAATAATTTCTTTTATCCAGGATTTAAACACTTCTTTTTCTATAAAAGAATGTCTGTGCGTTTGGGAACGATTTTCCTTTTTTAAATTTTGAGTTTTACTTATTTTACTATCAATTTTGAGTTTGAAAAAATTTCAACTCTCTGGGAAATTATTAGTTTCTCTCCCTCGAATCATAGTTATAATGTCAAGACTTCATTTAGGTAATATTAAAACTATTTCAAGTAATAATTTTTTTAAAAAGCAAATTCCACTTTTAGAAAATATTTAATGTTTAGGAGAAGGAAATTTCTTCGTGTTATTAAAAAAATCAACAAATCAAATTTCAAGTGATAGAAATTATAACCAATTAAAGTTTATGGTTTGGGCTAATATTTTAAAATTTCATCGAATTGATTGTAGAAGTTTAACTGTTTATAAAGGTGTGCAACCAAAAATAAATTATTAGAAAATGAATGATTAAAAAGTGATTTTGATAAATTTTGGGAAGCTGATTTCAGGAAAAATAATGCAAAATTCTATCACGTGCCATTTTTTTTATAAATTGAGATCTGTACTATAATCACCAATCCTTTCGGAATCCTTTTTTCCTGCTCACGGAAAAAGAAATTCTTGTAAAATTACCGTACAGTATGGAGAGACATTTCTGATCAGAAAAAAATTTAATTCTGGATAACAAAACTACCGGAAACTTATTTTCCAAAATTATAATTTTTATTACCACATATTTAGTAAAAGATACAAAATGAAATTGTAAATTCGACCGAATAAATGATTTTTATGCCATGCTCTAAGGCATCATGATAAAATTACCAATTTCCATCATCATATATTATAAGACCATATTTTATTTTTATATCCGTCGTTGAACAGGAGATCCAATTTTGGGTTTACGACTACTAATGTTCAACTCCGTAGCCTTGTAATTTTGAGCCAGTCCAGAAGACAAGGAAACTCCTGGATCGGTACCGCCAGAGGTATTGATTTGTTATGGGAACATGGAGGACTTTGAGACTCGACAGATTTAACGTGCATCAGTCACCATTTACTACACGGGGAGTCTTCGNGAAAATGAATGGTTAGAAACTGATTTTGATAAATTTTGGGAAGCTGATTTCAGGAAAAATAATGCAAAATTCTATCACGTACCATTTTTTTTATAAATTGAAATTTGTACTATAATCACCAATCCTTTCGGAATCCTTTTTTCCTGCTCACAGAAAAAGAAATTCTTGTAAAATTACCGTACAGTATGGAGAGACATTTCTGGTAAGAAAACAATGTAATTCTGGATAACAAAACTACAGGAAACTTGGTTTTCAAAATTATAATTTTTATTACCACACATTTAGTGAAAGATACAAAATGAAATTGCAAATTCGACCGAATAAATGGTTTTTATGCCATGCTCTAAGGCATCATGAAAAAATTACCAATTTTCATCATATATAAGACCATATTTTATTTTTATATCCGTCGTTGAACAGCCGATCCTGTTTTGGGTTTACGACTACTAATGTTCAACGCCGTAGTCTTGTAATTTTGAGCCAATCCAGAAGACAAGAAAACTCCTGGATCAGTACCCACAGAGGTATTGATTTGTTATGGGAATATGGAGGATTTTGCGACTCGACAGATTTAACGTGCATCAGTCACCATTTGCTCCGCCCAGCGGGGATCGAACCCACGAATTCTTGGACATGGGCCCAGTGCCCTACCAACCAGGCTATCCCGGCCATCAACCATATTTTATTGTAAATATTACCAAAATCATTACCAAATGACCGCTACATCACACCTTTAGGACTGATGACCTCACTTACTATAG